GATAAATAGAAGATATTCCTGGAATTGGGAAAATGCAGAACTAGCAACCCTACAGTTGTATGGATAAGAGATGCACTCTTGTGTGTGCAGGGAATGACTGACTCTGTGTGTGTGTGCAGTAAGAGGTATTTTTTAACAGCTTAGTAAATTGTGCATGCACTTCAAAGTATATGTGTTTACCTTTGTTCACAAAGAAATATCAGAGTCCTGCCTTTAAAGTCATAATTTTTTTTAAATTAGTGATGCTGAACTCTTAGAAGTGGTATTCAGATTTTTTTAGGACATTGGCATATCTGTGTTTGAGATCAAGGTGGAGGTGCTAACTGGAGCCACAGTTGACACTCTTTAATTAAACTCCTGCTCTCTGTGTATTGCTTGCAGAGGTCAATTTATACAAATGTAGCTGCATCTCTCTTGTGGGTTATTGTGCCTACAAGCCTGACTTGGCTCTGGTTGAGCCTGGGGTATTTAATGAACAAAATATTTCTTTGTATTTCAGGGTCATCTTCAGCCATGCCCGGGGTCAGTAATTTGGGACAATCCAGCTCCAGTAGTCCTCGGCTGTTCCCTCAGAGCCAGAACATGATTCAGATGGGACCTGGCCACGCTCCTGTTGCTCCACTGCAGTCGGGCTCCAGCCAGCAGGAGCGGGGGGTGTCTCAGTACCCCAGCATGCAGAACATGCAGCGTGGGGGGTTGTACAACCTGGCACCTGGCATGAACCAGATGGTTGCCCAGCACACGGCCCCGAGTGCCAACGGACAGACCCCCATGCAGAGACAGGGCAGCCTGGGCCAGGGCGCTGCCGTTCCTGCTGCCTATGGGCAGAACACCATACCAAACTCAAATATTTCTCAGCAGCACAATAAAGGTGCACTGAATGCAACCTTATCTAAGCCACAGATGGCAAGAGTACCAGCTGCTATGGGGGCTCAAAATCCATCTTGGCAGCACCAAGGTATCCCTAATATTAACAACCAGACACAAGCAAACAGTGGCTTAGGACCATTTACTGCCAACTCCTCTTTCCACATGCAGCAGACACATCTAAAGATGTCCAACCAGCAGTTTGCCCAGGGAATGCCTCAGGTAAGCCTAAGCACCAGCAGGCCCATGACCTCGATGAACGCTGCCGTCTCTGGGCAGATGCTGTCGTCCTCTTTGGGAGCGCAGCCGCGGACAAACGCGCCCGCACAGCAGCAGGTACCCTCACAGCAAGTCCTGCCTGGCATCAACCAGACTGTTCCAGACCTGAATGCTTTCAACCAGAACCCTAATCAGCAAATTCCCAACAGAGGAAACCTGCACTGTAGCCAAGGGTACCCTGTGAGGACGACCAGTCAGGAGCTGCCTTTCGCCTACAGCGGCCAGTCAGGCAATAATGGACTTCAGAACTTAACTGGTGACACAGACCTGATAGACTCTTTGCTGAAAAACAGGACTTCAGAGGAGTGGATGAACGATTTGGACGAGTTGTTAGGAACTCATTAAAATGGGGCCGGGGGTGGGGGTTCTACTTTTTTTAATTATTTCATGAGATATAAACAACTCTTGGACCAAAAAACCTGTGGCATTGAGGAGACTTGCAGGCATTAGAGGTAAATGGTTGGGAAAAAGACTGGAGCTGCTTCTCACTGAGTGTTGACTCGTGGTCGTGGCGCACCAAGCAGGTCTGCAGGAGGAGTGCGCTTTGGCCGCGGTCTCTGAGGAGTTGCAAACTTGAACAGGTCAAAAAATGCTGTGTCCTAGCCAGCCTTCCAGAAATCTCACTTGCAGTGTTCTAAGACTAAATATTTTAATTATTTAAAAACAAAACAAAAATTCCACAGAACTAGTGCAGAAAGAACGCAAATAGTTGCACAAATTGTGTTTAGGGCTTAGTCTGCAGCTATTACTTGCAATAATTATTTGTTCATAGCTTGACATGCTGTTATAGTACTGTCCATCAAACTTCTGATTTTTGTTTGAGAAGAGGCTGTATGCACCTGAGTATGCTTGCAAAATGTTTGGAATTGTTTCTTTTCCCCATTGCTGAAGCATGTGCCTGTACTCTCAGTAAGCAAGTGATACTTCACAGTAAATATTTCTAGATGCTGGTAATAGATGAGAAAAAGTATTAAAACCTGGCCAGTTAGTCTAGATAGTCATCTTCATAGATTGTAGTCTTTTAAGCTGCAGTTTGCACTCTGTTGTAGAGAGGCACAGTTCTTGGCTTGTACCTTGCTGTGTTTAAAGGGGGAATTTCTTATGGGAGAACTTTTAAACTATAGTAGGTTTAACATGAATTGTAAAGCCATTTACTTTGCACCTGTTTCTTCATAACTTATTTCCAAAGGTAGTTGTATTTAAATGAAGGCTTTGCTTCATGACAGCTCATCTAGTTTTCTTTGTTGTAAAAAGTAAAACTAACCTTTGAGATCAGTTCATCCCCCGAAGTTAGCAATGAGCACAAGACTTTGTCACTTCAGGATAAAAATGAGAAAAAAATAATTTAGTTGGGAGGTGGAAAGTCCTTATTAGCAATAATAGCACAGGCAGCCTGGGAGAATACTTGTATCAGGGTTGCTTCAGTGTGGAAGTCTCCCCCTTTAAATGCTTTGTTTTTTTTAATACTGGCTTACAAGTTTGATAATCTTTCTAGAGACTGGTGGATTTACTTTTTTAATATCCCTTGAAGCAGATGCTGTTCTTCAGCTCAGCCCAAGGAGACCTCTTATCCATATGTGAGGTTGGTCCCAGAAAGGACAAAAACCACAATGGGAACAGTCAATGTTCCAAAGTCCTTACTCTCTACCAAAAAAATCCCTTATCCACCAACAAACCACCTTGCCTTAACGTTTATTTTAAAATGAAAATAAAGTTGAAAGCTTTTGTTTTAAATGCACAAATACCTCTTTCCTTTCTAAATCCACTTTCTTGGAAAACTCTTCTAAACTTTCTAACCAAACCCAGCATTGTGATTTAAAAGCAATTTCCTTCAACGCAGACTGGCTTCACCAGGAGTTTTCTGCATTGCAGAATTGTGAGAGAGGGTTTTTTCCAGAGGGGGTGAAGGGAAGGGAAAGATATCATTGGTTTCAAAGAAGGAAAATATTTTACTGTGTCTGCAGCTCCTTTATGAGACAATTTGCACTTTTGAAAACTGCTTTTTTTAACACTAATACTTTAACCCTTTCCAAATATGCATGGAACATGGTTTGTCCAGCACACTTAGCTAGTGTGGATGAATTCCGCTCTGTTGATCAGATTTGCTATTTTATCATGTTGAACTGTTGATGAAAGATGTGCATTGATCAGTGAATCCCACCCTTGAACAGTGAATAAAACTTCACTGAAGCAGGCTTAATCCCTCATAGAGCTTTTGAAAAGATAACATAAAGATTGTCTTTGGATGGGAAGATAAAGATGTTGGTGACTTTGGTTGTTGACACTTCTGATATTTTCTAGAATAAGTAGTTGATGCAAATAACTGATGCTAGCTTTTCTCATACTGGCAATCTAAGAAAAGAGCTAGTGAGCTTGGTTTACTGTTAAGTTAAACCAAAAACTGGTCCAAGGTAAGTGTCATTAGAAGAGTATAGATATAAACTAGCAATGTCAGGGGAAGGAGTGTTTGCTGTATTTTTAATTTTAAGGGTTAACTTTGCACCAGTGTGCCTTCCCTTCCTGTCGGGGGTGCTTGGGACCTCAATTTCAAGTGACATCCTTCGATGTCACTTTTTTTCTCCCCCTTACAAACACTTAACAGAAATAACAGGGTAGTAGGATTCAGCTTTTCTTTCTCCCTGTTTAGGTTGTGGTGAAATCTGCTCTGTTTTCCAGTAGATTTTGCACACAGACTTGGTTCTGAATAAGTTAAAATACAATCCATCCAGTTATGATTTCTTAATTGGAGGAAAAGAACATCTGCTGTTTGCATTATTACTACCAAAAAGGCAATCCAGCAAAATGTCCAGGAAAAGGCAGGTGTGCTCTTTCCTCCACTGTTTCTGGAAGCTAAGGTGGATATTGCTCTGCTTGACCAGAGGGTTTGTTCAGGAAGGTATCTGGGTTTGATGACAGGGCCTTTTCATGGTACTGTTGGAGTAAAATTAGGTGTGATTCCAGACAAACTGGCTTATAATGCCCGTTGGTCTCCGTGTGTGAACGGGATCCAAACAGCCCCTGGCTCTGCCTTTGGTCCCTGTGCACAGAACACGGTTGGAACAGTTCAATGGAAATGAAAATATGGTTTTGATGTACATGGGTGCATGGGCAGGGCTGGGCTCTGCCCTGGTGCCCTGTAATGTGTCACTGGCTGTGTCTGCACTCGGGCTTTCCATTTGCTGCAGCTTCAGAGCAATAAAACCAATCTCCCCTGAACTGAACCCAGCCAGCCGCCCATGGCTTTATTTATAAACTGCGGTTTTGGTTGGGCAGGCAAGGTGAGAGTGTCACTGTGCAACATCCACTGCCTTCCAAAAACCACGATCCAATTGAAAAGGGTGCTCAAAATTTTGTTATACACATTTCCTTTGTGTAAATAAATGTTTACAATTTTATATTAAAGATTTGAATAAGAGTTAGATCTTCTGACTGTATATTTTTTACTTTTTATAGATTTTAAAACTATAATTCTTTATATATGTGTTTGGGGGGTATTATGGTAAGTTTTATGCTTGTAAATGGAGAACAGTTGAATTTGATGCTAACCTTTATGAATTTTTGTCATTGAAATGTATAAAGAGTCCATTAATCCCCTTATTCTTTTACTACAATTACTGGTGCACACCAAAAAGAAATCCTTCACTTCTGTTTTATCATTATAAAATAAATATTTTGCTAGTGTATTAAAAATACATGGTGTGACTTTATACATTTGCATGAGCCTAGCAGAGTTCAGCATTGTCATTCCTAGTGAGCTGGTTTCTTCCCTTCATCCCAACATACAGTTTTTGCTCAGCCTATTTATTACTGAGGCTAAAATTCTGCTGCTGTGTCACCAATAGGTTCAGTTAATGTTAACTTTCAGGTTTTAGTTCTGTTTAGTTTGAGTCTGCTGTACCTTGGAGGGTCTGAAGTCACATCATATGAGTGTTTTTTAGAGAGAGGGAGTGGTTTTGCTATTCTACATGTGTGGTTATATGTAAAAAGTGTAACATTGGATATTTGATTGATTAACTGAATTTTCAACTTGATGAGCTGTCACAATGGGGTTTTGAAGCAATGAAGAGGCAAACTAGAAAAAATCTTGCTGTGTTGCTCTTGGGAGAAACTGCAGGTCTGGTACATGCACAAATTCTGTAGTGAGGGTTTGTGTGTGTGACTCAACAGAGAGAAATGTAACAGCTCAACCACCAACATTAAGGGAAAACCTTCCTCCTCTTTGATTTAAAAAATTTTGAAGTCAAAGCAGTCATCCATATAAAGTTGCTCAAGAACATAAGGTAACTTTTTGAACTGATGCCAATTTTACATTTGTGGAGTGGGGAGAAAAGTTATTCAGGGCTAAAACATTGCTGGTTTTTGAATTTTACATTTTACAGTTATGACTCTGATGTCAGTGTAACATTTCTCAGGGTCTATGTTTCTACATCCTCTGCTACCTTCAGAACTGAGACCTTTTATTTTGAATGTTAGCTAGGGAAAGGTTTGTATTGCTTAAAAACTTCAGAAAACTACTAAGGGTGAGTGAGTGCTAGAAAAGAACTGTACTCCTCTTTGGTAAACTGAAGAGTGGTAATTAGTAGGATAAATATCTGAATGTTCTGTTAAATCACAGAATCTGGTAACAGAATTAAGTTATTCCAGCTGGAGTGTATCAAATCTTTCACGTGGTCAAGTCCACTACTTGAAATAAGAGCAGAAGGTCAAGTCATTAATTTGTAAATGCTTGTTAATAATTTTTACAACCTTGCACATAATTGAGATGCTTCAGAGCTCATTAAAACTAGCAACAAAAGGGCTGGAAAGAATTCCATCATCTTTCCATTGCTGGCAACATATAATTCAATAATGGCATAAAGTCTGTAAACGTAATTAGAAGAATTTCACAGTTTGCTCGTGTAAAATTCTTCCCTGCTCTATTGTTCAGCAAAAGGCACTTGGCTGAATGGAATAGACATTTTCTGGTGGGTGGCTGCTTTGGAAAACCACGTGGTGTGGAGAGAGTTAAGGTGAGTTAAGGGGTGGTGGAGGAAACACCTGTGCTCAGAGGCAGCTCTGTGGAAGTGGGTGGTGCTGGGAGAGAGTGTTGGGACAGCTGTACCCAGCACATCAGGCTGGGCTTTGCTCCACAGTCAGCAGCATGAGAGATCAAATAGACCTTCTGGCCACAGTCACAGTTCTGGGGGTCCTGGAGCAAGGTAAATGTCCTTTGTACAATGCCAGTATTCAGCTAATTTTGTTGAACTTTGTGGGATGCGGTTCCTGTGTTTTTCTTGGAGCATCTGTGGAGTGAAAGTCACTGTTTTTCAACATGGCAAAATGATACAAATTTTTGGCTGTTAATGGCAGAAGTGTTATGCCTGAGGGTGGTCATTATTTAACAGAGACTAAAATGGTCCTTAAAGCCAGCAAGTAAACTTTTGGACTTAAAGCAATTTCAGCGTGATGTTATTAAAATAAACTAGTTTGTGATTGAATTTTAGCAGGTAATTTGTAACTTGCAGTGGCTGGAGGTAGCCAAAATAAAGGCAGGTTAGGAAATGTGCTGGTGAGGAGGTCAGTGTACAGACAGACCTGGTGTGGATGTAGGAAAGAGCCTCGTGCACATGGGTGTTTCTCTGTGACCAATGTTCAGATGACAAGATGGACTGAGAGCACAGTAATCTGGAAACTAAGGCAAGTTCTGGTCAGAAATAGACACAGAGCTCTTCAAAGGAACTCAGTGACTTCTAATTTAATAGATGAATTGTGTTTAGACCATTTAGAAGGAGCAGCATTTTTGACAAGCTCTGTTTATTTGTGGGTCGTTTGGGCAAAGTTTCTCCCCCTTAAGCTTCAGGACACTCACTGCTTTGCCTGGGATGGGGACAGAGCCCTCATTTTATGAAAATCTTCACCGTTCTATAAGGAAAGGTTTGTGGGGTTTGTTATTACTGTATTAATTCACCATACAGCTATCACACCTCTGCTTACAAATGGATGTGAATCCCTGAGCAGCATCATGTGCTTTTAGCTGTCAGGTGATAAATCTCTTAATACAAGCATTATTTAAAACAAAATATTCCACTTTAAAAATAGAGCTCAAGACTTTGAATTTTCAGTAATTTCCACTCAATTTACAGAGACATACAACTACAAACAAGAAACTTTTGTACTATGATTTTTTTTGTTATTAAACTAAGTGGGGGTGGAGTGAGTGTTTAGTGTGCCAAGACAATACATGATGAAAACTTGAAATTGAGTTACAGAAATGCTGCTGAGCTCTTTTCCTTTAGGAAACCCTCAGTAGCAAATCCCTAGATAGCAGTTTTGTCTCAAATATTTTTGTTTAATGAGAATTTCAAGTACTTTTTAAAGGTTGCAGCATTAAGCATTTTACTTTGATGGCATACAGGCCAGGTGTGAAGCCAGCAGATAAATGCCTGGCTTTGGCACCCTCCTATCTGTTCGATCACACGAAGTATCCTGGTTTTATGATCTCTGTGGGGGAAGCCAAGGAGCAAATTGCAAAATACTGTGTATTTCCTTTCCACCTAGTCCTATGGAATCTGTGTGCCCGTGTCACAGGTTCAGAGCTGTGCAGTGGCTTTCTCTGCATGTTTTGAAAGGACATTCTGTAGGTGAGTTAGAGGTCTGGGCTTCACTCTGAGCAGGGGAGCACTGAAGCACAGACATGGGCTGTCCCTACAGACACTCCTCCATCACATCCTGGTGCAGGAAATGTAATTTAATGGCTGCCCTTGGTACAGGGTTGGTTGATTTTTATGTTTCCTTTTGAACTTTCTGGGAGCCTGCAGTTTCTGGGTTCTTTCAAGTAACTTTCCCCTTTTTAATTTAGTCATTCTCAGTTTAGTGAAACCCTGAGTTTAGCACTCTGTAGATGTGGGCCGCAGCCTTGTGGTGAACATTGTACCACAGAGCAAAATTATTCTCCATTTTTTTCCCCCACTCCCTTATTTTATAGCTTCAAAGGAAAGAAAACTTATGCAATGTCACTGTCAGGCCCCAGAGGGCTCGTTTGCCAGGTTCACTCAAATGTGGCAGATAGCAACTATGATATGATTTGACAAGTTTGTGGACATAATCAAATAGAGAATGAAGAATATTTCCACTGAGGAGCAAAGTTCAGGGAGAGCTGAGCCCCTTAGCCATGTGGGAATCCACACAGGTGATTAACCTCAAGACATGAATCACAAAAAACAATGCTTTGAAAGGTTCTGCAGAGTAGATTGAACTCTTTTTTTCTAAGACTCTGTGCTGAGAAGGCTCATGCAGTGTGGGTTTTTTCAACACCTCATTCTGGGAAGTGCTTTTGTGGACTTCTATGTCACTCATCCCTAAGTGTCGAGGATCTGTGTAGGACTTGTCTGAATATTAGGCCCTGTGTAGAAGCAAGATGCTAAGTGCAGAGCTGATGGAGAGGTTTGAAAGGACTCTTACCTCACCCATCAGTCACAAGAATCCCACCTTGGGAAAGGTGCAGATGGCCCAAAGCAGGATGAAGAGCATTGCCCAGTGCAGTTGGGCTATAGCCACAAGCCAGATCTGCTCATGATGCTGTAACTTCAGCTCAGTCCATTTCTGGAGAGGAGACTGGGATGAAACCCTGGGAGCATCAGGGAGAAGGGGAGGTAACAGGATGGGTCGTGGTTTCATTTTATTCCCAGAGCTCTCCAGTAGCTGCTGAATTCCAGTTTTGTGTTACACCTCCCTGGATTCACAGAGGAACACTGTGTCCTCATGGACCTCAGCATAAGGGTGACACCCTCACCCATGATCAACCTGCTACAAATGAATCAAACAGGGGAAACAAGAATGTTCCCCCCACTTTGCTCTGTCAGCACCTCTCATTTAGGGCTGGATCTCTGTGGAAGGTACTAGAATATGCTTTATTGTTCTTGTATGTGTTCTGAAAGGAATGACTGTATTTTTGTTAGCAAAACCTTGTGATACACAAGTCACATAGCATCAGATTATTTACATTTCTAATTCCCTTCTACATATGTTCTAATGCTTTTCTGCAGGCACATGTCTTGTCTTTAATCTTGGAACATCTGTCTCTACTTCCCCTTCTCTGTCCTGCTGTTCTGCTTTTATCTTTGTTACAATAGGACAGTCCCCAAGGCAGGCCTTGCACCCTGGCTTCTTGTCTCTCTGGAAGGCTCTGGAAATGTTGCTATGTGAGGACTTTGCTCACTCAAGTGTCTCAGTGACACCACCACAGCCACCAAAGTAATTGTTTTTATAATTTAGTTTTCTCCTATATGAAAATAGGAGTTTTCAATAAAGTCAGCAGTGTAGTAGTGCACCCAAATAAAACAGAGCATCAGCAATTTCCTGTGGGAGTAGGAGCTTTCAATAAGTAGTGAAACACTTCAAATCTTCATGTTAGCAAGTTTTCATTGTTTTGAAGTGACTTTCCATGTCCTTTACAAATGTACAAAGGACTGATGTAGCAGACACTGACTCAGTGCCTTGGCTCAAATGTGGCACAGGCTGATAGCAGGCAGGGGCAGCACCTCTGCTCCTTGACAGCCTTGGGGCCGTCCTGCAGGAGTGAAGAGCAAGAAATAATCACCCTCTTCCCCATTTCCTTTTATTGCCATGATTAAGAGCATCTCTAATTGACTGTCCCAGTGCCTGAGAGTTTGGATGCTGCTCTGTGACATGGGCCATACTTTGCACCCACTGGGAATAGCAGAAAAAAAGTGTTGCACATCATTCCCATCAGACTGGCTGAGGGTGCACAAGTACTCGAAACACAAAGTGCAAGATTAAGAGGTAATTCTGTGACTCAGTGTGGACTTGGTAAGGTTTTATTGTGTGTTTGATCTGCCAGGGAGCAGCACTGACGGCTGTGCTGGGTGTGAGGTGATGCAAAGTGTCATCCAGCACTGGCACTCAGCTGGGATAACCAAACCTGAATTTAAAGCATGAGAGTGAAATAAATGGCACATTTATTACAGGTCGTGTGTGACAGCCCAGGACTATGGACCTAGATCATATCAGCTCTTTCATTCTAACCACTTGCTTGATTCCAAGCCAGATAACACTTGGCTAAATAAACCCTGCTGCTCTGTTACCATTCCTGTGCTCTGTTTTCAGGCTATTTTGCAATGCAGGTGATCTACGCCCGTCGGAAGTACAAGGTTTCCCCTCCCGAAACCACGGGGCACCCTGAATTTGAGCGGACCTTCAGAGCTCAGTAAGATTTTGACTTTTTGTGGTGACTTTGTCTAGATAAGACTTGAGTCAACTGTCGCTGTCAGGAGAGACTGGTTTCCCTCAATCACCTTTCCACTTACTGCTCCTGTTATTATTTTTTTTTCAATGCTTTGTGTGCAAAGGTCTGGGTTTTGATTTGGAGCACTTTGGCTGGGGTGTTTCTGTCCATCCATGATAATTCTCCTTCTGGCATTGTGAGGCAGCCAAATTACAAATTAGTGGCCGTATGGAGGAGGTGCAGAGCATTCACAATTAGAATCATTAAATTTAATATTACCATTGGCTCCAAATGGTGAGAGCAGCCAAAGCTTTATTAATAACCTGATATTTTCTTGTAATGTTTTGCTGTTGAATTGAAGCAAAGGGCCTTGCTGGCAGAACCAGCTACAAGGGCATTTTAATTTTTTCCCTTTCAGAAGGCATTGTACTGTGAGAATCAGCACTCGTGGGCCCCTGCTGAGGGCTGTTTCTTTTTGCTCTGTTCCTATGGAGAGAGCAATGCTGGAGCTAAACTGGAAACGTTCACAGATCCCTTCAGCTTCCAGCAAGCAGCAGATTCCATCTTTCATCTCAGTCGTTCTGTTTTGTGAGCAATTGAAAGGAATTGGCTGGAGCTGGTGTGAAGGGTAATTCCAGCCCGGCACTAAATCCCGAACAAAGCAGCTGCATTCCCTTGCCAGCACACAGGAAACGTTTGTGGAGTGACAAAAACACCAGCTCCAGTCCTTCTGTGGGACCATGGAGGGCCAGCCTGCCTGGAGACATCAGCCTCTGCGAGCTGCTGATGTGGCTTTTAATTAAATACTTAACTATTAAATGGGAGTTAACCAAGTCATGCCATAGGTTGTGGCAGGGAAGGTGACCTCTGGGAGCTTGGCCTTGAGAAGATGTTGCTTCTTTGTGGGTTTGTCTTCTCTTTTCCCTGTGGAAGAGTATACAAATGAATAATTTAATATATTGAAAAAAAATATATGGGAAAAAGTGGTATTGATGCATTACTCACTTGAAACCTGGCAGCCTCCCCTCACTGAGGCTCAAACTGCATTTACAGAATAAGGTTCTTCAGACTTTTTCCAGCTCCCAGTCTGGCTCCATTCTCCAAAGGTTTGTATATTTTTGGCCAACATTAAGATTAAATTGCCTAGGGAATGGTAAAATGTGGGAGAAGCAAAACCAATGTCTTTAATAGCACAGCTCCTACTCTTGCAGAAAATCTGTATTTTTGTCACTAAAGGAAAAAGGAGGAAAACCTGGCTGTAAATCTGATCACCTCCTGCTGAATTTTATTTGAGAAAAGGCTCCTTCTTGGTGTGTGACTTTTGTGACTCCCAAATCTGGGCTGTGCTCCCCCAAGGGGAAGAGAAAGCTCCTTAAATACTGACAAGCCTCTCCCCCAGGGGCTGGGGTGCAGCAGCTCTCTGGGGTGGTGCTGTGTGTGGGATGCAGCCTGTCGAGGGTCCAGCAGAGACAAATCTCCATCTCAGCCACAGCTTGTTGTTCCAGGGCCATGTGAATGCAGGAGAGGTGAATGCTGTGTGTTGTTGGGCTGCTTTTTCCCTCTACAATACAGATATTGGGTGTTCTGGATCACAAAGGCTCCTTTCCCACAGCACAGTGATGGTTCTCATCAGCTCTTTTAGTTTGCTCTGATGTGAGTTTCCAATTCCCTTCTCCAGCCTTGGTTATCCAGGCTCTGATGTTCAAGGAGGCAGTTTTAACTCTCATCTCTGGTTCTCACCAGGGCAAACTGCTCAGAGTACTTCCCAATCTTCATTTCCCTCCTCTGGGTTGCTGGAATCTTCTTCCATCAAGGTAAGAGGGATGTGGAGGGGAACTCCAACCCAAACCATGTGAACAAACCAAAAACCTCAGCCCCAGTTTAAATCCCATTGTGACTCAGGCATTCTCTCTGTGCCTGTGAGGCTCTTGTTCATGGAAAGCAAATTTCCCCTTTAGCTGGATTGACTGAGAAGTGCCTCAACTCCAGCTGGGAGCAGCTGAGCCCATTCCTGCCTGGAGGAGGAAGCACTGGCAGCCCTTGCTCCTTTGCTGGAGCCTGGCTGTCCCCTCATGCTGCTTCTCCTGGACAAGGTCAGGCTGTCCCAGGGTGCCAGGGTGGCAGCAGCTGAGGCAGAGCTATGTCAGAACAAGAAACCATAACCCAAACATTTACTCATCCACTGCCTATCCCTACCAAGTGAGGGGGGATTTGGTTGCTGCAACCATTTAGTTGTGAGGAGAAACCACATAAGGGAGCATTGCCAACCCAAGTCCCAGGGCAACTCTGCAGGGCAGAGAAGTTCATCCCTCACAAAAAGGGAAGGAAGAAAACTAATTTAAACTCCCACAGTGGTTTAAAGCCAAATCACTCTATGTTTGGTTTTCTGCCCCATCTGCTGGGGGGGCTGTGTTGGAAGCAGTGTCAGGGATCCTGAGCCCAGCAGAGCTCAGCTCTCCTGTCCCCCCAGGTGTGACTGCAGTGTGTGGGCTGCTCTACCTCTACACCCGCCTCAGGTACTTCCAGGGCTATGCCGGGGCTGCACGGGGACGGTAAGGACCTGACAGGACCACGGACCCAAACCAGCCCAGGGAGCCTGGGAGCAGGAGCTGGCCTGGAACAGGCTTCCTCCCTGTGGCTGGGACTGCAGGCACATTGTCACCTCCTCCTCCTCGTCCTCCCCTCCTGCCCCATGTGCTCATGGCTGTGTCACCCTTCCCTGACTGTCCCAAAGGGGGGGGGGACTCACAGCCCTGCCACAGTGCCCCGTTCCCTGGCAGTGCCTGATGGTGTTTTCTCCCACCCAGGTTGGGACCACTGTATGCCAGTGCCTGGCTGCTCTGGCTGCTGCTGGGGCTGGCACTGGCTGGGCTCCTGGCACACTTCCTGAGGCCCACATGGATGGCAGCACTGGTGTGGCCTCTCCAGCTCCATGGGGCCTGGTGAGAGGGGCCACAGCTCCCCCAAACCCCACTGTCTGCCCCCGGCACAGGGGAGCCAGTCATGTGGCACCATCAGAGAGAGAATGTTTCCCTGGCTCTGCATTCCCTGCAGAAGGGAGATGGATGCTGGCACTCCTCTGCTCTTCAGAGATAATTTCCCTTCTAGAAAGCAAATGCTTTCCAGCCCCTGCTCCTGCTGAGGAGCTTCACTGCTGGGCTTTGTAGCACTGTCTGCTCCAAAATGCCTCTGGCTCTGCCTCATGGAGCACAGATTGACCCACATGCTGTCGTCTCTCCTCCTTACTGCTGTAATGATCTATGTTGAAGAATCACACCATGGATATAAAAAATAAATTCTTATTCTCACTAGAAATCACCTGTGATTGTCAAAGGCACTCAGAGACTGGTGTCAGAACATCTGAGCTGGGGACTGGGTTTCATAGGAAAAGCTGCTGTGATTAACTGAAAATGATGGGTAAGCTTGCCTAAAACCACATCCAAATATTGGGAGAAAAGCCTGACCCCAGCCCAGTACTAAAGTCTGTTTGGCATTGATTAAATGACCTTTACTTTACCCCAGCTTCACTTATCACCAACTCTGCAAAAGGACTTTGCCCTCCCTACATTCCACCCTCCACTGTGAACTTGGGGTTCACAGGTGCCTAAAGCAGCCCTCCTGCAAGTGACTCTCACTACTGCACCAAAGGTTTAAATTTAGCTTTTATTACAGTGCACATTGTTTTATATATTTATATAGAGAGATGTACTTGAAAAATCAAATGTATCCAATAATAAAAAATACAGAACATTAAAGTAGTATAATGCATTCCAGTGTATAGCTGAAAGGACATTGGGATTTACACTAATCCCTACTATTTTTGAACTGGGCTACCTCTGCTTTTTTTTTCCGTCCCCAAAAAACCCACATCAATCAATAACTGAATTAGTTATTTAAAAGACAGTTTCTGCACTCAATCTCAAGGCATGAAGACACTGGAGACTTCACTGTGAGTTAAGGGGCTGTGTTCAATGCTGGCAGGCACAGTGTGGCATATTTTATTTTTTTGTTTTCCCTGCCATAATCATAGCTCCAACCCCTTTGGATTCGTTCCTCCTCTGCTGAAGGAGGGTCAGTCTTTGCCCTCACTTAATCCTCAGCTGTGGCCAGGACTGCTGCCTGGGAGAGGGCAAGGCAGACCTCTGGCCCTGCCGCCTCCATCCCAGCGCGCCGGTGGGGTCAGCTGGCAGGACTCAGTGTGACCTGCTCTGTCCCCAAACACAGCCAAAGATTTGAGCCCTGTCTGGGGCTGAAGGTGCTTTTTGTCCCCGCGCTGGCTAAAGCTCATCCTGACCCCAAACTGTCCCGCGTCCGTGTGTCCGAGCAGCAGCAGCAGCACCCCGAGGGGCCGAGGGAGCTGAGCAAAGCCCTGCACAGGGGGTTGGGTTCTGCTTTCTGCTCCTCTTCAGGAGGAGTCAATGCCCGTCCCGGCCCCGCTGGGGATGCACAGCAGCAGCAGCAGCTCTGCCGCCCCCGGCAGCCGGCCCTGCGCTGTCCTGGGCCGGGCGAGGCGCCGCGGGGAGGAGGGAGCAGGAGGGAGGGAGCAGGACCTGGGATCCACGAGGGCGTCCCTTCTGCCTCATGCCTGGTTCACTCTGCTTTTTTGATAAAAATCTGAAAGAAGAGCGGGATAGGATCAGAGCGATGAGCAGGGCAGGGGTGGGGAGGTGCTGAGGGAGCTGGGCTTACCTCGCTCAGGATGATCCACACCGGGGAGTCGGTCTGGATGGACAGCCTGATGGCCTCCAGTGGCCCAAAAGATGGGTCCACCTCACCCTCTGCGACGCCCTTGGAGAATGAGCCTGGTGGGGAGAGCACGTGGCTGACACAGGGATGGTCCTCTGGCATTGCCCCTCCACTTCCCCTCTCCCCCAGGGCACCACCACAGCCCCAGCAGCCCCTGCCTGCAGCTCCCCAACACCAAAGAGGCTAAAAACCGGGAGTGTGGATGGAATACAGTGCAAAATGCCACACTTTGGAGAACACAAAACAGGTATACAAAACAAAATGCATTGGGATGCATATCACTGCTGTGCAAAAGGGGACAGAGTGGCCTGACATGCTTTTTGGTTTTGATTGTTTTTTTTTTGAAAATGCAACTGGGAGAAACCAGCCAGCATGCAGAGGAATGAGAAAATGGCAAAACACTGCATGTGTTAGGAAATCTTTCTTTTATTTGTTTACTTAAAAAAAATGAAATCTTAGCAGGGACACCAGGGCTATCACACACTGGCAGCTCTCTGGAGGCTGCAATTGCTCGCTCTTGTCCAAGGGCAGGGCAAGCATTAAAACAAGCTCAGGTGGCAAGAGACGAGGTCTGACCTGCAAGTGGTGTGAGTACAGAGATGGCAAAACTGCCCATGGTGGAGGTTTTTAACCCCAGGGTAAGCAAAGAAATAATCAGCATGATTTGGTCCTGGCTCTGAGCAGGACTGGCAGAAATGCAGGACTGAAAATGATCTGAGGGGGACAACATGGTCTGAGAGCAAGGGCAGTGGAGGAGAGGAGACAGTGATAAATCCTGGCTCCTGGCAAGCAGAAATTACTCTTTGCCAAGCAAACAGCTCTAAGGTTCTTGACTGACATGCAGGTGAGGACATGGGCTGTGTTATCAAAGCCAGCAGGCACTTTGCCACCCCACACCCCCTGTACCTATCTGGACGTAGCCATCCGCTGTCCTGCGGTATTTGACAGCTGTGCCTCTTCCCTCCTGCAAGGCTTCCTTATCTGACTGTAGACTCTGCAGAAGTAGAGGAGTCTTGTGCAGACCAGAGGCAAGAGTCACCCAAAAGCCCCAAGGAAAAGCAGCAACCCCAGAGCTGTCCTTGCCAGCAAACCCTGGCATCTTGTTCCCCACCTGGCACCCAGAGACACATGCCCAAAACAAGAGGACAGTTGCAGCCCTCACACTGCTGTTTCCACTGCACCATTCTGGCTTCATCCCCCCCTCTGCAGCCATTCCACTCTCTGGAGCATCCCCAGGCAGGGATGGCTCACACAGCCGTGCTCAGCAAAGCACCCTGCTCCTGAGGTGGCATCACACCAGGCATGACCCTCTGGCTCCCTGCCAGCACCTGTAAGAGGCACTCGAATCTTGTAAAGATTTTCCTGATGACTTTAAGCAGTTCCCTCCTCTCAAAGCTCTTTTGCTTCCCACTCCACCCTCACCTCAAATCTCAATCAAACACTTACGTCAAACGGCAGCACCTCCACGGTCGTGTTGAAGAGTTTGTCTTCTGGGTGCTCAATGTTCCCGCTGCGGAAGAAGAACCTGTGACAGAGACCAAACCCACAGAAAGGGACACTGAGTGAGGGGGCACATGATGGCTTTCACCCCATCTGAATCATCAAACAGCTCAACTTAACAGGCACCTTCCCAAAGAGCCCACAGCACGATTTGGCAGGAGACTTTCTGTGCCAGATCAGTTAAACCACGGACTGCTCACAAGTGCAGGAAAGAAAAGGGGAAAGGTGGCCCCAGCTGAGAAAGGGTCAAATTATGCTTCCCCTGGAAGAGCACTGTTCCCTCCTCCTGGGCAGCCAAGCAGGAGACAGACAAGAAATTTGATTTAAATTGCCAGAAGAGTGAAAGTCAAGTGTCTCCACATGCTCTGGGCTGCCCCCACACCCCGCTGACCCCTCGAGCACTGGCCTTTCAATTCGGAGTGGTTTGAAGAATCTGAATCGGATGAAGTCCCCGGCAGTGGGAGTGAAGGCCCAGAAGAAGTCCTCCCGCAGGTAAGCCTTCTCCAGGGTGAAGTGCTGGTAGGTTTTCAGGCTGGTGCTCACCTCAGCAGGAGGGTTGACGTGTTCTTTCCGCAGTGCATGTTTTCCAAAGTCCTTGTCCTTGGAGGGCACAAAGTAAAAGGGCAGAGAAGGGCCATGAGCTGCTCTGGCCCGTGAGGAACCAGGGCCCCAGCTACAAGGCACTGCAAATTAAAATTTTGTGAAAGGAAGAGAGATGGAAGTAATTTTGGCAATGCACCAGGCAGGGGAATGTGTGACTGGATCCCAGGACACTGCTTCAGGAGAGGCAGCTCAGAGAAACATCCCAGCTCTGTGCTCTGATCCAGCACACCAAGGAGCCTTTTATTGTCCAAATGTCCCTGAACGCCTGTCCATGCCCCAGGAGCTCTGGAAACAGTCTTTACACTTGGGGAGAAAGCAGCTGTGAGGCTGACAATAGCATAAAATGACTGGATTACATGGCCTGACAGCACTGCACTGTGATACAAACTGGATTGTACCATCCATTTTCCCGGGGATCACACAGACAGCACAGCCCAGGGATGTCTGTCCATGGATTCTGCACTTGTGGTTGTGGGAAGCTGCATTTTGTTCATGTTTAAATACACCTCAACAATTCCAGCTCTTACACAGTGAGTTTTAATTTGCCTATCACCAAATCCCAGAAACATGAAGTGGAGTGGGAAGGAAGTCAGACCAACCCAGGAGTCATCTCTCCAAGATTTTTCAGTAGATTCTTCAAAGTCACTTGCCTGGACCATGGCCTGGCACTCAGGATGGGTGGCCAGGATAGGTACCAAGGCTTATAATCTTGCAGTGACTCTGGGGGCATGTCACTGCCATTCTGAGGAGCAGGAGCTGCCTGAGCTGACTGTAATTCAGAATAAAACACAACCACTTCACAGAAATCCAGCTGCCACCAGCTGCTGTCACTGATGTCCCCACCCAAAATCCGCCAGTTCCTGGGTGTCTGCAGGCCAGGCCACCTGTAGCTTGGACAGAGAGTTGGTACCCACCTTCAGCTTCTGTATCTTCCCAGCCAAGGAGGAGTGGGTTCCCACGTGCTGGAAGAGCGAGGGCTTGAAGCGGATCCTCAGGTTTGCCTTCTGCCTGTCGCAGTGTTTCTGAAATGAGACAGCCCCACAGTGCCCCAGGCTCCAACCTCTGCAGGCCACTGGGGCCCACAGAGCAATGGACAAGGGCACAAGGAGTGACAGACAAGTCCTCCATCTCTATGCCCTTCTGTGGTATTTAGGCTCTAATCTGGCAAGAGGGCTTTTAAGCACACATTGGAGAAACCAGACTGTGACTCCCAGCCCCTCAACCTCCAGGCTCTGCTGGACAGGGTCCAGGTTTAAATGCCAAATTTCTCTTTGCCAAGCACAGCTAAGAACGCTCAGCAAATCCCCTCTGTGCTGTCAGGGAGGAACAGCCAGAGAACTGAGTTTCCTTTGCCCCTTGGGTTATTTGGGAAAGCCTTTTTCCTACAACTCAGAGCTTGGAATCCCTGATGTCTGAAGGT